AGCCCAGGGACAGTCACCAGCAGGGAGCAGGAGGAGCAGGAGAGGCCAGGGCACCCCAGGGACAGTCACCAGCAGGGAGCAGGAGGGAGCTGGAGAGGCCAGGGCACCCCAGGGACAGTCACCAGCAGGGAGCAGGAGGAGCAGGAGAGGCCAGGGCAGCCCAGGGAGTGTCTCCAGTAGGTGTGTCTGTGAGGTGGAGGCTCCGGAGAATGTCAAGGTCCCCCAGCTCCTCTTCTGTACAAATGGGCCACTGGGAAAGGAATGTGTGTGTGTGTGCATGAGAGCAAGTGTGGGCATGTGAGCACACGTGCCTGTGACGCTGGCTATGACACTGTGACTGTGTGTGACACTGAGCGTGTGGTGTGTGACCTGAGTGTGAGCAGAGAAAGGGGCCCCAATGCTCCACTTTCCTCCGCCCCACTCTCACCCAGAAGCCTTCCGACCTCGAAGCTCCCCTGGGGCCCATAGGACAGCTGCCCAGCATCAGTGTCCACTCTGTGTTGACGGGCTGCCAGTCCCGGCTACGCCAGACCCCCGCGAGTTCAGTGACACAGAGCAGCACACCAGGCTGAGCTCAGCTGGGGCTTTCTGCCCTGGGGAGTGGAGGGTCAGCCCTGCCCGTGCTGACCCATAAGGCCCTCCCTGGCCAGCTGCCCTGTGAGTGGAAGAGCTGGGAGGAAAGGCCACTGAGGCTTCGCCTTGGCCCAGTCAGTCAAGCCCTGCGAGTCCTGTGCCAGCAGCATCACCACTATCCACAGTGTGCTCGCTGAGACAGACTCACAGTTCAGGGACTGTCTCCAGAGGAGGAACCACCCCTCCGATCCCCTGCTTAGGAGCAGCAGAGCACCAGCCAGGCAGGGAGTACTGGGGACCTGGGAGAGAGGACCGAGGTGGCTGGCGGCCGGGGTGGCCGGCTTCTTCATCAGGGCTCTGGGAAACCTGCAGCAATGCCCTCCAGTCCCACTCTGAATGATTTCCTTACCTGCATCAAACTTGCCAGGTAATGTCTGAGCAAGAGACGGCTGCTGTCCCCCACCCACTGCCCAGGGAGGACACAGAGACTCCTGGAACTTCAGGCATTGGTCTAACCTTGCAGCCACTGAACTTCAGAGCCAAGCCTTGACCAGGCTTCCCATGCTAAGTCCACCACCTTGAACAGAGCTGGGTGTGTCCTCCAGGGCGAGGGCACCTTCTGTCCTCCACCACACATGCCTGTCAATCAGGGTGGCCTAGCAGTTCTGTGGAAGGGACCTAGCATGTCCATGGACAGTGCCCAGAGGACCCTCCAACCAGGGGTCCTCCGCAGCCTCTCCCGTGCTCAGCCCTCTGCAAGCTGCTGGGGACACCGATGGGTGGTGAGCAGCGCCTGCTCTCAAACAGCTGACACAGCAACAGGCCCACCCTGGAGTAGGAGGAACCGCAGGCTGGAGTAGGGCCGGAGCGGTACCGCCAGGAAGACCCCAGGACAGGTGCCCTGCCCGCCATGCCAGGCTGACCCCAGGGTCCACAGTGTGTCCCAACAAGGAAACTGAGGCTAAGGGCGGTGAGGTCACTCACGCATGGGCACCCTGTCCTCTGGCTGAGCAGCTCTGCTTTCCCACCACACTCAGGGCCCAGACTGGGACCCACTGCAGAAGAATCTCCACCAGCCACAGGCCCACTCCCGAGGGCAGACCCTGCGCCCAGCCCTCACCCCCCGCCGTGCAGCAAAGGGCTCTACTTACATACTCCTTAATGTCCTTGGACTTCACAGCCTTGTAGGAGTAGTATGCAGGGTAGAGGGTGCCAAATATGAGCCTGGATGGGAGAGAGGGAAAGCAGAAGTGTGGCTTCCATTCATTTTACTTGGGGGAAGCTGTCTGTCTTGGGGCCAAGAACAGTCCTCCAGGCACAGAAAGGCTGCTGTAGGACTGGGTCCCTCCTGCCTGGGCCTCTAGGTCCTTCTGCTGATGGCAATTGTCCCTGGAAATCCCCTGGCCCAGCCCACCCCTGCTTCCTTCAACTTGTGGTCTGTCAACATGAAAGGATGGTTGGGGGTCACAGAGGCCACAAGTGTGGGGGTCCAGCTGAGCAGCCAAGATTCCTGAAATCAAAGGCTACCTTTCCACTACGGCTGCTGACCCCCTCTGAAGCCCCACAAAGCCTGCCCAACTGGACTTGATCTTTGATCCTGTAGCCAGAATAAGCTTCTCCCATTGTAACCGTAACCTGGTCAACCCCAGCACATCCCCACCCCACATTAACCACTGTTCCCGAAATGCAGAAGCAAGCCAGGCAGGGTGGCCATCCCAGCACACCCTGAGATTCCAGCAACTTGGAAGGCTGAGGCAGGAGGACCACAAGTTCAAGGCCAGCCTCAGCAACTTAGTGAGGCCCTACCTCAAAATAAGAAAATAGAAAGGGTGGAGGTGTGGCTCCATGGTAGAGCGCTTGCCTGGCACATGCAAGACCCTGCGTTCCACCCCCACACCATGGGGAAAAACGCAGGAGCAGGGACCACAGCACCAGTGGGACTGTGTGGTCATCGGCTTTCACTGCTGTGCCCTGTCCACAGCACCGGATGGTCTGCTCCGTCTGATGTGAGCGGCACAGGGTAAAGTGCTCGCTAAGTAGGCGTTCACTGCACAAAGCTCCAGGGTGAAGTGACACCATCCTGGACACTCCTGACCTTGGGTCTGAGGTCTCAGCATCCAGAGGGAGGCCCTGCGTGGGCTGAATCAGCAAAGCTTCAGGCTCACTATCCACTCTGAGGAAATGTCACCTGTGTCCACCAGGCAGGCCTCCCCCTGCCTGGAGGCTGGGGCTGGGCAGGTCAGCTGGGAGCCAGCCCCTGCCCCTGGGTCCCACCACAGACGAATTTGCATTTTGGTCTCAATGATAATTAGCATTTCACCCCTTGGGGGAGGGGCTTGCAACCCTCCTAATCTGCTTTGGAGGAAGAGCAGTGAATGCAGCAGTCCCAGCCAGGGGGCACTGGTGCCTGTGTCCCCAGACCAGGTGCCCCGCAAGAACCTCTCCACGCAGTACTGTGCCTTCCAGCCCTCCCACCCCCCAAGCCCCAAGGCCTCCGGTCACCAGTCAGCAGTGTGCCAGGTGCCAGCGACCCGTGACTCTGGCGGCTTTCTCAGAGCCCCCATCTGAGTGCAGGATCTTCCCCAGCCCAAGACTGGTTTGTTAAAGCCCACTGACCCTTTAAGGCCTGTCTCAGGAGCTCAAAGGAAGCCCCACTGGGAAACCTTGCGCTCCTCCCTCTGGGGTGTCTGTAGCCCCTCTAGGCCTGTGGCCCTGAGTATTGGCAGCCCTAGGGACATTTCAGGCAACACTGGCACTGGGCATGCTCACCTGCGTGGGCTGACTGCAGATTAGGGCTAGGGCTAGGGCTAGGACTGACAGTGGGCTGGCCCATTCTCTGTCACCTGGGACTGGACATTTTGGACGACCTTCACAGACCAAGGCCCTGGGGCTCCCCGTTCACACCACCCAGCTCTGGGTTCACTGGGGTCCAAGCGCCTGGAAGAGCCCCTGACCAGGTGGGTGCCTGATATGTGTCTTTTGAGAAAATGATCAAACAACTGTCATTTATCCCCAAGGAACGTAGTCCACTCTCCAGTGACAGCCTGCAGAGGCCAGGAGGAGAGTGGTCAAATGTGTACAGGCTCCATCAAGGCTCAGGCAGAGCAGGGTGTCCATGACAGAGCCTCACAGCGCCAGGGGCCCAGGGCTGGCACCCACCCTCCTCCTCCTCATGTCAGTGCCTGTGGCCAGCAGCCCCCTCCAGAGGTCAGGGGTGCCCGCCTGCTGCCACCTTCTCCTGTCTGTGCCCCTGCCCCTCTTGCTTCAGTTAGGAGCCTTCCTCAGGCTGCTCCTCCCACACCACCCACCTGCGCCCTCCAGAAAGCAGGGGTGGCCGGAGGCTCCTAGGAGCACAACACTCCAGGCGGCAGGTGCCAGCAGGGCGATCCTGTTGCCCAGGGGCATCTGGGCGGCACCTGGAGCTCCTTCAGTTATCATAGCCAGGAGGGTGCTGCTGGCCTCTGGAGAGCACATGTCCACAGGGCGCAGAACAGGACGCCCCACAGGCCTTCTCCAGCCGAGAGCCCACAGGACATGCTGGAAACCCTGGCCCAGCAATTTATTTCCTAGTCCTCGCACCATGGATTCTTCCCTGACCTCCAGGCCAATCTGCCCTAAGAGAATGTCCAGTGTCCCAGCAAGTGCTCAGGTAGGAGGGGACAGTCCAAGATGGTGGGCACCACACCTACCCATGGGCCAGCATTGGGGAACACAGCTCTGCGGCCCCTCCTGGAGCTCTGAGCAGGAGGAGGTGCTGCTCACACACACTGACTATCCAGGTGCCCAGAGGAGCACTGGGCTGTCCCGGGGCCACAGATGCTACACAGGCTGGGGCTCCACTACACGCTCCAGTGCTGCCATTGCCAACTGAGTCCAAGACTTGTTGAGAGCCACAGCCGAAGGGGCCCCAGTAAACTTCCAGCTGCCAGCAAACTTCCAGCTGCCGGCTGATGATTGGCTCACAGCGGCCCCAGCAACATCTAGCTGATTGGCTCCTCTGCGGTGATGCTCATTGGGCTGTTTCCCTGCCCTTTCAGACCACGGAGCTGCTCATTGGGGGACTTTTTTGGCTCCGCCCACATGACCCAGCCAATCGGCCTCAAGAGCAGGAGGACTGTGGGAGGCAGAGAGAGGCTTGTGTTGGAGAGAGAGGCTTGTGGGAAGCCGGTGGTGGCAGTTGGGGCTCTGAGGGTTTTTCCTGAGAGGCTGTTTTGTTTGGCGTGTGTGGTTCTAAAAATAAAGTTAGTTTCTTTTGACAGTGGCTCCTGATTGTGCCCAGCCAGACTGCGGCATTTGGTGGCCCGTACGGGGAGCGACTGAGGGTAAGTGATAAGGTAAACTGCTCGCCCCTGAGGGCAGGGCGAGAGGATGGGTAGCCATTTTAAGATTCCTCTTTTGTTTTGCTTCACTTTTGTTTTAAGTTGCCTGTCCCTGGAGATGAGTGAGACGGAAGAAAAACCGCTCACATCTGAGGAAAAACTATTTGCTTCTGAGGAACAGATAGGGAGAAAGGTTATAATGATTTTTTGTTGTTCCACTTTTATTTCATTCTATCTCGGTTTTGTTTGGTGTTATCTTGTTGGGTTGTATTATAGTAGAAATATGGGATCAGAAATTAGTAAAAAACAAACCGAAAGAGTGTTAAGTAAATTGTTAGAGGAAGGAGGCATCCCAGTAAAATCAAGAGCAGTCAGGGCATACGTTGATACAATACAAAAATGTAGCCCATGGCTTTTTAAGGAGGAGTTGTTAAATATATCACAATGGAACCATCATGGTGAAGATTTAAAAAGAATAGAAAAGAAAAGCCCAGGGACTCTGCCAGTTGGCACATTGCCATTGTGGACGTTCATATCTGGTTTGCTTAGTCCAAAGCCTTCAGTTCAGACAATGGTAGAGGAAGGAGAAGACATATTGATTCAAGTAAAAGAAAAGGTCTCTTAAGTTAGTCAGACACAGGAAATGATTCAAGTAAAAGAGAAGGTCTCTCAAGTTAGTCAGACAGAGGAAAAGATTCAAGTAAAAGAGAAGGTCTCTCGAGCTAGTCAGAGGAAAAAATTCAAGTAAAAGAGAAGGTCTCTCGAACTAGTCAGACAGAGGAAAAAATTCAAGTAAAAGAGAAGGCCTCTCAAGCTAGTCAGACAGAGAAAGAAAGTATAAAACAGAAAAAGCCATCAGGGGGAAAATTACAACAGGAGACTGCTACTAACACCTTTCTATCACCAGAGGGTGTAAGTGTCCAACCAACAGCACCACCTCTACAGGAGACTGCTACTAACACCTTTCTATCACCAGAGGACGTAAGTGTCCAACTAACAAGGCCACCTCCATATGCTGGGAGGCCCCCAACCCCTGCAGTTGATAGTTGGGATCCTGAGACAAGATCTCAAATATTAACATGCCATGTATTTGAGGCAGGAGGGCAGCGAGTTTACCAAGTTTTAAATTTCAAAACAGTGAAGCAGCTAAAAGAAGCTGTAACAACCTACGGTCCTCAAGCACCCTTCACTGTAAGCAAGGTCGAATCCATTAACAACTTGAACATGACGCCAGCAGATTGGGCTAATATGTGTAAAGCTGTGCTAAATGGAGGACAATACCTGTTATGGAAGGTTGCCAATAAGGAATTTTGCAAGGAGACGGCTAGGTGAAATGCAGCAGCTGGTTATCCTCAGAGAAATCTAGATATGTTGTTAGGAAAGGGACCTTATGAGGATCAGCAGCAAAAAATTGCATATGATCCTGGTGTATATGCACAAATTGCTGTAGATGCAATTAAGGCATGGAAGACTTTACAAGGACATGGAGGTTTACAAGGTCAATTATCTAAGGTAATACAAAGAGCTAATGAACCTTATGCTGAATTTGTAGATAGGCTTATTCAAACAGCTACCAGAGTTTTTGGGAATACAGAACAAGCAATGCCATTACTAAAACAACTGGCTTATGAGCAAGCGAATCATTGGTGCAGAGATATCATTAGACCATGGGAACATGAAGATTTAAACACATATATTAAATTATGTAGAGACATTAATGAACAAGAGCAAGTCGTGGCAGCTGCAGTAAAACAGGCTGTAGATGCCAGAGACATTAATGAACAAGGGCAAATTGTGGCAGCTGCAGTAAAACAGGCTTTAGATGCCAGGCCAAGAGCATGCTACAATTGTGAACAAACAGGACATTTTAAAAGGAATTGCCCCATTGGAGGAGGGTTTAACAAA